CAATCCAGCTGCGGACAAACAGCAACGCTGCTCTGTTTTGGTTTTCCCAAATTAAAGACCAGGCTCAGAACCACAACGATGGGCGAGTATACGAACGCATCGTGGTGCAACGTAACAGGGTGACCCTCCTTACAGGGCGTACGCGTCCACCACATGAGGTTTTCATCTCTCGTGCATGCTACCAGATCTGCAAGGTGGAAAACCATCCAAGTAGTCATAAGTGCGGTTTGTGCAATAATAAGTAGCTCCAGCTACCAGATATTTTATCCGGTCGGGGAAAAAGCTAGACCAGTAAAACAGCTCAGTCATTTCGAACAAACAAACGGAAAACAGTCACTGGAAGAGGCAGGTCGCGGAAGCAAATGAAACGATTGGAGTAGAATAGAGATGTTCAGAGCATGTGTACTATGGCTAAACGAAGACGAAGCATTGGCATGAACCACCTTGTCAAGTGAAGGCGCACCAGTGTATGTGTGCGTAAATGATTGGGCTGTAGGGCCAAACAAGTATTTTATTCATAGCGCATCTTCAGACGCACTATTTGATATGTGTGCGCTGCGCGTGTTCAGGGGATCCAGAATGGTTCTGAACAGCAAGGAACTTAGGCTTCAGTTTGGTTAAGGTTAGTTAAATCCAGTCAAAGCAAAGCACCAGATATTAAATAAAGCTCACAGAGTTACTCGGGGATGGGACCAGGCTTGACGAACTAGGAATAATTTGGTTGGGTAAAAGAGCCTAAGGCCGGAGGAAGGAAATGCAACCAGGTCAGTGGAAACGGGTATGAAAGATGGATAAACTGGCAAGTACAGTTAAGAACACTTGGGAGGATGGTTGTCAAAATTGCGGATTAATGCTGAGGGTTTCAAGCTGGTGAGTGTAAGTGCTAGGACATAGTAGCAGGACAGTCAGGGTGTGCTTAGGGCCTATTTCAAAAAGTGTCTAGTGCAAGCTAAGGGGCGAAAAGGGGCTCAGCTCCCTCAATAGAAGGGTAAGAATCGATGGCCTTTCGAAAGCCTACGTGAGATGAGATAGTACGGATATAGGAGGGAAGCATGTTCCACAGTTTGGAATAAAGGCAAAAGAAAAAGTGTTGTCAAAAGACAGTTCGACGTGTCGACAGTGGGAGTAAACATCTAGAGTTATGGATATTATGGGGAGTATAGGAAGAAAATTTAGAGCAGCAGTCAGTTATGTAAACCCGCTGGTGGATTAGGCGATGCAGAAGGCCTAGATTCAATCTGAGGCGCCATAGTCATGATGGATCCAGCGCAAGTGACAGGCCGCGAAGACGATAAGTTCGTGTGGATGACACCGGAAACAGGGACTTAGCGCTGCACGTTCTCCACAGCAATCAGGCATGTCTGTGAATAGTGTGAGGCGAATTCAGGGCTAGATTCAAGAATGGGTCTTACAAATTGTCTAAAAATGGCAATCAAACATGATTTATTATGGAAGGATCGGCGAATGCAAGCGCAGGGCTTGCGAGCCTTAGCCTTTCTGTACCTTGCATGTTGGTTGAGGCTTAACGCACAAGAAAACCGCAGGCCTATGTCTCATTTCGGAAAGAGTAGGAATTGGGATTTAATTAAGAGTAAGCGTCCCAGGAGGAATTTGGAATCAATGTTACAGGGCTTGGCATCTGGGAACGGCGGAAGAAAGACAGGAGTTGGAGGACCAGAGTGATAAGACATTCAGGTTGGACTGAATGTTAGCAAGATTGGAAACAGAATCACTGGCTTTAAACGTGCAACCTATCTTAATATCATCAGCAAACAGAAAAGGGGAGCCATGATTGATCGAGTCGGCGATCTTATTACCGCGTGACGAGCTTGTGAGCGTAGAAAAATGACAGATCTGGTGACCTAGTGAGTGACGGGGAACTGTAAAATCATGTACGTGGGTGAAAAGATAGCCACGCTCTAACTAATTACATTTGACATCGGGGATCCGCATTTTTATTACGTGTAAAAAGCTGCATCCTTGGGCTCACGTTTGTGGACAGAGACCGTTCATAGATTCAGGGCACAAATCTACACCACTTGGTTCATTAGGCCTTCTTTAGCCTAAACTTCGCCGCGTCCGTTAATGCACATAAACGATGAATCCAACTATCGAATCATCGGTGTACACACCACTTACTCATCATCACTATCGGGACTAATTCAACAGGCAGTAAACTCGTGACGCTGTACTATCCACAAGCTGGGTATGCATACCTGGGAAATTGGATCATTCACAGGGATGGTAGATTGGGAAATGTGCTGCGCTAAAGTTCGATGAACAGGCTCACCTCATTTATAAAATCGGAGTGGAAAGCAAGCGGACGTCACTGATCAAGTTTCCAGGATGAGGTTTTCATTGTACATTATGCAGATGTTCTCTCATTCTTAGAGAACACCGAAGAACGCCAAATTTTGTTAAAGTGCGATTTCTCCATTTACCTCTCGTAAACCAGTAACGAAATGCGAATCGGCGATCTTCACTGACCTCGAGAGCTTGTTCACTTAAACAAAATGGTGTGGGCGACATATCACCGAAAGGTGCAAACAGATAGGACTAACTTGCAAAATAACTCACCGCTCACAGCTTCGAGATCCCTGTTGTTTCAGAGAAAATAATTTGGGTGTGCTAATTCTGAGTGGCCTTGCAGACCTGATGACATACACGGGGAATAAAAAACTCGTGTGTTGGTCAGGTACGCCCTGAAGAGAGTGTTGACCTGTTGCCTACGGATGGACTGGTGCATAAAGCAAAGTTCAATGCAAAGACATTACCGTCATAACGAATGTTGGCCTCTTGCACCGCTGCATTAGTGTGTAGTATACGGTGACTCTCATTTTGCTTGATTCATATGTAAGGATTGGTGATGTACAACCTGCTTACTGGGCTTTGGCTCATGAGCTTTGTTTCTGTTTTCCATCCACAGAAATTGTCGTGAACACCTTCCTTCGGAGAATCACTGTCCCCTGGTGTTTCCATAGCGTGCATATTTCATAATTGGCGACCCTGCCAGGATGGTTGCCACACACTGGTGAAACTACCACAAAGATCCTGGCTCTACCTACATATGCGTAAACAGGCCTCAGAGCTAGCACGTTGCTCACTCACACGCGGTAGACGCAGCCTCAGACACAGCAACCTCCGCACACGCTCACTAGCCTCACGCACCACACCAATAGCACTGGCCGGTTCACGTAGGCAGTGGTACACTGGGGACCGTGTTCTTCAAAAAGGAGGCCAGTGCAGTATACGGTGTCTGTCATTTTGCTTGACTCATATGTAAGTATTGGTGATGTACAACCTTGCTTACTGGGCTTTGGCTCCTGAGCTTTATTTCTGTTTTCCATCTACAGAAATTGTCGTGAACACCTGTCTTCGGAGAACCACTGTCCCCTGGTGCTTCCACAGCGTGCATATTACGAGTGTATTGCTGCTTGTCAGGCAGAAGCAGGATTAACTTGTTTGTTCCATGCCGCAGACTCTATCAGCAACCTCAACGAGCTAACACGCCTGCTGTCAACTTCTTTCAGTTTTTATTCCATTAGCTTACAACATTTCACCCCCAAACCCAACAGGCTTCACTAATCTCATCACATTGTATTGTTTTTCGACACTTCAAATCGCAAAAGTAACTCACACAATCGCTCTGCATTGCTCTCATCTACCCTGCCAGGTGCCCACGTTACGCAAAATATATTAAAAACGCCCGCGCTTCTACATCGGCTCGGCTGGGCTTATGGCAATCCTCTTGTCTAAACAAAATCCAGCTGCCACAGGAAGGCACATCGCCCAGCTGATCACCGCAACCTTGACATCTCTTCTGATGTTATCCAGAATTCCAAGTATGATAAAGCAAGAATCGCACAGCCATAACAGCCTGTGGCATATCAAGGACTGTCCTTCCTCAGCTGCCCCATCTCGCCCACCGGGTATAACTACAAGTAGTTTGTACCCAAACACCATCGCCCCTGGCATGAGTGCGTTCTACTTCTTTGAACGCTTCCTAAGGTTTTAACTACTTCAATGATGTACCGTAATTTCAATTCAACCACTCCCACAGATTCAACAATTTTACTTGCAGTGCTCGTTCCACCCTGTGCGTTGGCATCACTTTCCGCCTCCAACCACATACCGAAATTAACTTATCTCCAACAACAGCAACGGTGGGTCCATCCAGTTTCAATGCGCAACATTTTTCTAAGACTTAATGTGTCATTTATCTCAACCGTGAATTTCTCGACCCAATCATTTTCACTCATGCTTTAATTGACCCTGACGATTAATTGGACTACATAAGATCATCCACGGTCAGATTTTTTGATCCACCTAAACAAGACTAACCGCTTAATTAGTTTTGCTTCCTTTCGTACTGCTCTTGCATTCCTGTTTTATGAATTTTACAGTTACGTATCGCGTAATTCACGGATTCACGGATTGGTACACAGGAGCGAGGATTTTGCCCAAGTTTCCCCGCCACGAAGAGACTGGACCTTACCGTGGTGTGACGGTTTGCGCACCTCAGCGATACATTGAGCTATACTGGGGAGTGTCCCACGACACTCACAGTCTCTCATACCAGGTTGGTCAATGGTTAGAGATCTGACGAACACAGTCTCCTGGCCCTCCAGGTTGGGGGTTGGAACATGTGGCGACTTGTTCCGTAGAAATGGTAATGCATTTGCATTTCCGGCGAAACACCGCTGCCTTGCGGTTAAGCTTTTGAGCCAAAGGCTCTGGTTGAGGACCCTAATCGTCCTCCTGTCTAGGTGTGGGCGCTCTGGCAGTATCCCAGCCCACGTACAACCATGAATAGCACATACGCAAATAAACTCATGCCACATCGGCCTTCGCGTGGTGCCATCAGCCGGGTCGCCTGACTTGCTGCATACAGCAGGGCGGGTAAGCGAAAACAGGCTACTGCTGACGCCTCCCTTCTTTCTCCTTCACATACTTTATCTTCCCCCTCTCCCCACCCCATTAATAACTCTCTCCTTGTAGGCCCAAAGCTTGGGACTGATGACTCCATTCGTCATGCATCGGTTCTGCGTGCAGCATCTGCTCGTCACATGGTGTCGACATCTGCAGGAATCTCCGAATCAGTCCTCAAACCTCGACACCCACTCTATCTGGCCGCGTTCAATTTTCGCACTCTGAAGCAAGCAGGACAACAAGCTGCCCTTGCACTCACACTGGACTCGCCTGGCATTAATGTGTGCTGTGTCTTAGAAACGAGAACTCAAGATGCAAGAACAGTGATTGAGTCAACCGCCCCGTCAGTCTCTTTTCGCTTCCCATTACGCAGCTCTGGTGATCCAGAGGCTGCTGCGGTGGGATGTGCAGGGGTTGGTATTGTTTTAAGTCACCGGGCGGAAGTGTAACTTCTTGACTGTATACCTATTGATAGTCGCCTCTGTGCGGTTCGTCTGGCAACGTCTGTGAAGCAGTCTCACAAGCGGCAAGTTGATAGATGTCTGTTTATCGTGTCTGCCTATGCCCCAACTGATTGTAGCTCTGACACCGTCAAAGACAGATTTTAAGACACCCTGAATGCTCTGCTGCGGCGAGCTAAAAGCTCAGACATTGTGGTGGCTGCCAGAGATATGAATGCGCAAGTGGGCAGGCTCAGTGCATCTGAAACTCAATTGGGAGGTCGACATGGACTGAACTCGGTACGTACGGAAAATGGGAAACGATTGCTTCAGCTGTGTGCTGATCGCAGGCTGTTTTTATGCAGCACGAACTTCCGAAATAGCCGAAGTCGTCTGGCCACTTGGTGTCCTCCTACAACAGGCCGGCCACGAACTCAAATCGACCACATTGCCATCAGTTACCGATGGCG